GGGGGTTCTACTCACAAAACCAGGTGCTGCTTAAGTGGATCTGCTTGACAAACACCAATACACACAGTTATCTACATGGTAATAGCTACCTCCCTCCCCAAAATCCCAGCATTCCTAAAGATGGTGGCACACAACAGCACATACCCAACAGGACATTAGACTTAAGCCCTTGAGGAAGAGATCACCCCAAATCAGTCATGCTCCCAGTTCAGCCTAGTATTGCACTAATTACCTAACCTCTCAGAGGCTCATTTCCTAAACTCATGCCTATTGAAGTTCATCCCTTTCTCTCAGCCTTTCCTGTCAGTTCTTCTCATACCCCTCTTTTTTCAACAGAGGAACAGTCTCTAGTTGTGAGCTTGTCAAGCCAAGCTCTGGTCCTGATCTCTCACAACTACGAAGTTGAAAGAGCAACATCCATAGCTTGACCCATTAAGCTGCACCCTTTAATGAAACAGTTAAAAGAAAAAGATTAGGGAAAGGGGACTTTCTTTAAATATCTTTTTACCATTAAATGCTTCAATAACTTGTTGGAGCGTTTCTAGAGATATTCCACTGTATCCTTTTGCCAGGACGTTGATTCTCAGTGCCAGCAGCATGCGAGACCTCTCTGGGCTTAAGGGTTTCCCCACACCTGAAACAGTAACCTTTTTGGTAACTAACCTGCTACCAGCAGTGACAGAAGAGGGAAACATCAGGTGATTTCTCATTACCAGCTGAATGTGAGCGAACCAAGTTCACCTGAAGCTCCCTATGAACAAAAAGGAAAAAAGTAAAACCCCAAATAAGTCTCATCAGGGTTTATTTTGCATGGAACAGAGGGAAATACTGAAGCAACCCTCTCATCTAACCACAGAATATAAATGTACAGGGTCAAACCGCTCCCTCTTCTTCCTTTCCTGAAAGGAAAGGATGGAGCAAGCTGCACAAACAACTTACCTCAGCTTACTGTTTGGGATGACTGTCCTGGCAAACTTCCCAAACCCTGTGGTGATTCCATAAACAACTGCAAGAAACATACACTGCTGGTTAAGGAAGGAACGCAGTTAAGTTTTCTGAACAATTAATAGCTAGACTAAAAATATTTACCTGTCTGTTCCTTTACGATCCTTTCAATCACTTCTCGTGATTCATTGACTTTTGCTTCAGCTTCAGGTGTGAGCTAAAACATGAGCAGTTTAAATATTAGTTTATCTATTTCTATTATTATTTAGACTATAACAAGATAAACATGCAATTTTTAGCCACATTTATTCAGAATCTTTACCTTGATCTTGTAGAGCCCCTTTCCTAAATTGACCAAGTCTTCCGTTGTTAAACTGTTGCCATCTAAAAAAATATACTACACCGAAGAACCACCTTTTAGTTCGGGATATGTATCAAGTTGCTTAATAATCAGAATTAAAACAAATATACTTAAAACTCAGCAATGACAGGAAGGTTGCTCATGCTTATTTGCAAGACAGGAACCCACTAACAGAAACATAATAAGCGCATTATATAATTGAATTTCCTGGGCCCAGCCAATCTAACAGCCCCTGCACTTGCGAATGCTGCAGTGGTTCAACTCTCTGCACGTTTTTCGGTGAGTAACAGGATTTGTTACTGAGTTGTACAATCACTGGTAGTTCCTACCTGTTCTGGCTCTCGGTATTTGCTGTATCTGAAGGTTCTGTAAAGGAAAATAAAGGGCAGACCGGATTTCACAGTAGGGACCATTTGACTAGAGCCGGTAATGTGTTTTAAGAATGAAGGAACTCTAAAAGAACAGGAAAATCTAGAGAATTATAGATCTGGAATTATAAATAGTTCACATAGCACCAAAAAAAGGATACAAATGAACTCCTTCTGGCTGAGATGGTATGAAATTTGGAGACATTATATCTCCTTCTATAACTAGGAGAAATAAGCAGAATAAACACAAGTGGAATTAAATTGCACTCTACACATAAATTACTTTGTTATTCATTCTAATACAACTTCAAATTAGAATTATTATAGCTGTATCAACCCTGAATGTATTTGTACGCGTATAAGAAAATAGCAAGCAAATATGTATTCATTTAAGGTACTCTAAAGGCAAAAGCAGAACAGCCTAACCCAAGCATGTATTATATATGAAACCATATGCTGGTGATACATCTAGAATCCTGTACTTTCTAAGCTTTATATAGTTCTAACATTCTTAAAACATTATGGCATTTTTTCCATAAAAGTCATAATGCCCTCTCAGACGCAATTTTAGATAAACTAAGACAGAGTTTGCTGACACAGATGCCAACATGGTCACTCTGCAATGTGTTGCTTAACACTTTGCTTACCAACTTCAACAAATTCATTATCCTCCAGAGCATCCTCCACTGTATCTTCAAGATCCAGCAGGCCAAGTCCCTTGCACCTTCGAACGTAAAATTTTACTTCTTCTACGGAGGAAAATCCCCCATTGTCAGGTTTGTTCTTCATGTACCGTCTCACAGCTTCCTTTCCCAGCCACCCAACTGTGCTGGTGCTGCTTTGACATGGCACTGCCAGCCATTCTCCTCGGACATGCACTGTGTATCTCGGCATGCTTTCTCCCCCAAACTGTCCCTTGACAGAGAAGGGCTGCAGCATGCAGCAGCCTTACATTTACTATGTGATGGCCTGAAGACAGCTTCTAGCTGGAGTCCAATGTCACAATCAGTGAGAGGCAAAAATCCACCCTCAAAATCTCCACCTTTGTAAATAAGTGAGATCAATGTATTCAACTGACTTCATCCAATCAAACCAATCCCAGGGAGAACTCCCTTTTCATAGAAAGGCAAGTCCCCCAAACTATTGACACAGGACTGTTTTACCCCAAAGATCACATCAGGGATATAGAAATGAAAATCCAGGAGCTGGGTCTTACGTACCAATATTAGATAAATAAATCAGACTAAGCTGGAATGCAACTGTTCTAAAAACTTAAGGGTTTAACAGGAGTTAACAAAGTTGTCACCTGGCGGTAGATCACACTGATGAAAACCTCCATGATGGACAGGGCTGGAAAAGTCACCCTGTTAATATGGGTTGGTCAGGGCCGCTAAGTTTGGAAGAAAACGGATTATACTACTTTCATACCTCTATGTACTGCACGATAAAAGCAGGCAGCAGAGGCAGCAAGCCCACTTTGCTCAGTCCCATGCTGAAGTCTGAAAACATAATATTTGCATTGTAGGTGAGAAAAACACCTAAATTTTCATTACCCTTTCATTTATGATCTGGAAGATGTTGCTACAACAGATAACAAGAAGCATTAGGCCACAACTGCACACTACCAAGCCTGGTGCTGCTATTTCATGCTTCTTTTGCTGGCAGATGCAGAGGAAAAGAAATGGAGAAATACCTATCAAAATGGTGCCAAAATAAAGTTTAGCAATAACCATGTCCACACAGAGGCTGAAAATACCTTTGTCTTTAAAGATAAAACAATAACACCACTTGTAGTCCATGCTATCCACAATAGTGTTACCAGACAAAAGCACTATCATAAAGTGCACTTACCTGTGGTTGACTTATTGTGGGCAACTTTAAATTGAGACCCACAGGTGGGAGTCTCTATGAGCGAGATTAGACAGACAGACTGCCCCAGCAGAGCAGGACACTAGTGAAAACCATGCCTACCACCAATTTTTTTTCTAGCTCTGACAGCAAAAATACCAGGATTATCTGGCAGCATGAACTGCCAGATCACTATGTATGATAAATGGGCTTTTATGACAATGTATTACCCAAAACTAGTTATATAAAACATTTCTAAAACAAAGGAGTTTTCATTGCAATCTGATAGCTTGGACCAGAACCAATTAATACCAGGGACCCCCTTCTCCTACCAGAGACTTGCCCAAGGGAAATCTCATTCGTTCAGGTGACGCTGTAGCAGATGCCTGATTAGGTTTTGGGAGTAAATGAAAGGAATTGCATAAATTTCTAACCTGAAAAATAGAAAAATTCCTTTCAGGAATTTTCCAGCAGAACTTATCACTTGTTTAGAGGAGCAGCAAGGAGGGAATGAATGGCCTATTAGGTCCTTAACACAAGCCTGTAAACACTTTACATACAAGGAAATTATGCTATTATATTTCAAAAAAGCCAAGATTTCATTGTGTTTATTAGAAGCTGAGTGTCACAACATTCATAGAAAGAATTTAAACTCACTTTTGAGCCTCATGGACCTAGGAGTTAATTTTTCAGTCATTTTTATTTAAACTACATAGATATATAGGTTAAAGTTGCATGGAAGAACTCGGGATGTATTGAATTAATAGAATCCAACAAGACCTCTTCATGTCTTAATTTATATTAGAGCTCTCAGCATGAAAAGATTAATTTCTTGGTAAAGTACATAACTTCATCTGCTTGAAAGCTTATACTGATCAAAACTAAGAACAGAAATAAACTGATAGGCTCCCACACTAACTGAAGTAACTAACCCTAAGTTATTAAATAACTAATTCTAAATTATTAAACCCAAGCCTTGTGCCACAACCTGTATTTGGTAACTTCCTCCTCTGAAACAGCACTTTGTCAAAATGATTTTTACTCCACGACACAGGGGTTATCTCTGCGTTCAACAGAGGCTAACTGATCATCTCCAGGAAAAGCAGTTCTTGCCAAACTCACTTCAAAAAACAATCTACAGATGGCAGCATTCACAACAGCTTCACCTAAACCATCCACTTGAACTGCAGTGCTGTAAAAATCATAAGGAAAATGGCACCTCTGACTGTTTTTAAACTTATCTCTAAGTTGTGATATTAGCATAAGGGGAACTGCCCAGAACTGCTAAAAAATCCAACTATTAAAAAAATCAAACAGGGAAAGGAAAGACTTGGGCTTTAAACCCTCCTATACAGTAGGTTGAAATCCATTTCCATCTTCACAGTCCTCTTGGACCTGTAATAAAAATTGCTCCCTCAACAAAGAGCAAATAAAACTATTATTTGAAAACTTTTTGTAGAGATCAATACACAGACAAGTAGACAATGTAAAGATTTATTTTTTAGTCTTCAAGCATGTTGCTACAAAAAAGAAAGCTGTGCACAATGAGCCATATCACTCACCGATTAATTTTTCTTGTTTTTAAATTCCATGACAGACAAATGACTACGTCTTGGAACAGCTTTCCTGTGCGTTCTAAAAATCACTTGTAACAAAACCAGTCTCCCAGATACAGAGATTTAGCAGTTTTGCTGTTTTATTTGTAAACGCAAAATAGGAAGTACTGAACTTGATTTGGAAAGTTCATTTTCAGCTAAATTAGTACCAAAGCAGCAGAGCATTTCATGGTGTAATTGAGCACACGTATCAACAGTTTGTGGAATCAGTCTCCTCTTCCAGCAGCAAGAAAACATCAAAAAAAAAAAAAAAAAATCAATAAATTTGTCACTGCTCCTGTTTTAAGTCTTTGCCCACAAGCATTGAAGTGACTGGGTGCATAGAGGCTCTATGCTCCAGAAATGTCTTGACAGTCAGATCTCGACACTTGTCAAAACTGTAAAGGTCCCTGCAAAAGGAGGAGAAAAAAGGCCCCATTACAAGAATACAGGGAAATAGTACAATGGGGATTTTATCTAGGTTTTACTTTTCCTTTGAAAGCCTCACATTAAGGTGCATACTGGGACACTAAGCCGCCTTCTACTAAGAAACATCAGCAAGTGGATAGTAACTCTGAAGAGAAGCTTGTTCACAGTATACAGAAAATTCTGTACTGTATCACTTTGAAGCATAGCATACATGTACAACGTCAAGTATTATACATTCCATAATACTAAAAATGCCAACAGCATGAGCTCCTACAATTTGGTAATTGCTTTTACCTGAACAAGGGTCGAGTAAACTTCATCCTGCCCTGATCTGTTGCCATTTTTAGAGCCAGAGGAATAGCTTCTTCCCACCTGGCCTTGATGCAGAGTCTCAGCCATCTGAGAAAAAAAATAAAACCAAAAAAACCTTATACTTTTAAAAATTTTTATTTGCAGTAGTTATCTTATGATTCTGTTCCCATAAGCACACTGGGCAGTGCTGTGTCATCATGGGAATGATATTCAAGCCAAGTTCAACATAAAATATTCAGTGTTTGACTAGCATGCTACAAAAGTGGGCTTTTCTATAAAATAAGAAAAAATTGCTTCAAGCTTTCTCCAAAATGGTTTGATCATTTTCTGCAGCTATACATGTCTTCTATATTACAGTGGTGTCCAGTTGCATCACTCAGAATTAGGGCTGAATTATATAGCACTTGTCATATTTTACCAAGTGATTAAAAAAACTCCTAACAAAAGCCACCCCAGAATGCCACCAAGCAACTGGCACGCTTGTTTTGTTTTAAAGCTATTAAGAAATTGTTCTTGTTACAAGAAGTAGAAACTAGACTGTATATTTCAAATACTTAGGGCTTTTGATAAGAAACAAAGAACTCTAAGTTCGTTAAGGCAGAAGTCGTGCATAGTCTAAGAGAGTTAAAGCAGAATAATCGTGACTATTGCAAATGTATCCAAGTATGTAACAGTCACAAAACACACAATACTTCAAGATACTTGTAAAGATTACTTAAGTCCTCAACAGTAGCTTTTTTTATCGTGTGACCTGTGGGAACACAATGCATAAATACAAATCAGAACTGATTAGGACGGCAGAAGAATCAAGCCATTTAGCCAGGAGCATTTCCTAACTGATTAGAAACTTCCTTTGATATGTACTTTTTTTTTGATGTGACAAAAGGTTTGTGATAGTGAGCATGGAAATGAAAAAAAATTTTCAAGTTGTGTTGAAAAAAACCTCACTGGCATCGCAGCAGAAGTGAGTAGGTTAGTCCAGAGACCCAGACCTGAGTAAATAAATATTAGAAAGATTTTTCAGGCATCTCTGATTCACAGAAAGGCTTCCTATTCTATTATCCAATACCACCCCCAAAATAAGTTGTCAGGTTCCTTTGCTAGTATGGCAGATGAAAATAAAACAGAGCTAGTCCACTGCTCATGTCCAGCTCTACAATCCCAGGCACAGCTACAGGCTGGGCAGAGAAGAGATCCAGAGCAGTGCTGCAGAGAAGGACTTGGGGGTGTTGGTCGATGAGAAAATGAACATGAGCCAGCAGTGCGCGCTTGCAGTCCAGAAAGCCAACCGTATCCTGGGCTGCATCAAAAGGAGCGTGACCAGCAGGTCAAAGGAGGTGATCCTGCCCCTCTACTCTGCAATGGGTTGCCCAAGGAAGCTGTGAATGCTCCATCCCTGGCAGTGCTCAAGGACAGGTTAGACAGAGCCTTGGGTGGCATGGTTTAGTGTGATGAGTCCCTGCCCATGGCAGGGGGTTAGAACTTGATGATCTTTAGGTCCTTTCCAACCCTAACTATTCTATGATTCTACACTGTATTTACTCAATTTGCGAGTAACAGTACCACTCTGGTAAGCATGTTTGCGCATGCACTTGCAAAAAAGCCCACAACAACAAAACACTCCCAAAAAACCTGCACCGGTTCTGTACAACAGTATGTCTCAGACGATTCATGAAGCAGGACACTTTGTTCTATGAAAGCATTTAAGATTAGAAAAATGCCCATACTAGAACAAACCTGAATCTTATTTCAGAATTGTTTATAGCATTGAAGTCATATACTTGCTGCATTCGCTGGACATGCGACACTGGAAGAGGAGACTGAAAAAGGAAATTGCTTAGTCAGAATAAGCCAGAAGCACACTTCAAGCCACATATATAAAAAATAAACAAATTCATCCTAGGAAATTGATGATACAAAGGAATTAAAAGCTTACCATAACAAATATTTGTATTTGTTTCTTTCACCTTCTCATTGTATTAGGGAAGGGGCAAAGAATAAGCCTTAGCAAATTCCCACATCCAGTACTACCAAAACATTCAAAACACAATATTCTGTTGTATTTATTGCTTATTCGCTTTGACATCAAACAGACAAATTCAAGCACCTTATAGTTTTGGTTTTACCTTTCAATCCAAAATACTCTGTATGTTGTTTGTTAGCTTAAGAGCCAAACATAATCAGGGAGGCACAGCTGAAGGTTTCAGTAACTATGTATGCTGAGAGAGGATTATCTTTGTAAAACTTAAAAGAAAATGGACAGCTTAATTCCAAAGCACACTGGGCTCCATGTCTCCTCTTGTGATACCAGAATAAAGCAACCCTAGGTGTGCATTTACCTCCAGAAGCAACAGGGCCAGGAACTCAATCAACTGATGAGATGACATTTCCTTCAGGTCTGCTGAGCTAAATGAGCCCAAATCACTCTCTTTTGCCTAAAAGGGAATGGTTACTTAAGTTTTTAATTGGTATTTCAAAGTACAATCAGGTGTAATTTTTTGTTTGGACTATTGAGCCATTCCACATTTTTTATGATATTGATTTGTATTCATGCAAGATGTGACAAGGGAAAAGTAGGGACTTAAGCTACTATCTGATGTTTAGTATTCTTTATTTCAATTCCCACTTGTTTTCTATCCACTGTCCTTCTGTTACAGTTAAGTGAAAAATCAAACACTTTCAATAGGAAAAGTAATACTGAGAAGAAGAATGTTATGGCTAACGTACATATTCAACAAAAAGCCACACAGCTAGGTAACAAAAGGAAGGTATGCTGAATTCTCTATTAGTTGTATGAGTTTTATGGCTAAAATTATGAGAAGATTGTATGGTATTAGTTACTTATTATGATTGATGTATTTCAGTTTTTGATGAGAAATGCATACTAGCTCCAGTAAAGCATACAGGAATTATTGCTAATAGAATAAAATCAGTAATGTAGGGATACTTTGGTATTTGTTTTTAAATCAAACCACAATATCAAGGTTTCAAAAACAATATTCTCAATTTGATTACTACATACAATAAAAAAAAAAGCTGGCTGTGTGCCCCTTTAAAATATGTACTGCACTTCACATATAGAAGTTATAGGAAGTGCTCTGATTCTATGATGAAAGGCTAGTCTATGAAATGCAAATAACCCTGACGGCCATACCATCACCATAAATACACTCTCAGCAAACGATGTATTTCAGAAGAGAATGGCTCACTTTGTATAAAAAGAGCTAGCTTTTCAAGATACAGACACCTCAGCGTTATTTAATCACTCACTTTGATCCATCTTTGGCTCAAGGCAACACAAGCATTTGCTAGTGTCATGTCATACCTGTCAAATATTAAAAACAAAGGATCACACTTTAGAAACACAAAAAGCTCCGGTAATGTTTTTACAGAATGCTTAGAAATTATTTTCAAATGGCTCCATATTTGTCTGTTGTAGCCTTCAACTCCATACTGCAGTACAATTTACAAAATATCTGTTATAATGAAACATATTTCAGTTTTAGTTAGAAGCACTTTGTGCACAGATGATACTTGATCCCATGCACTTCTAAAACAATCAGTACTTCTGAGCGTATAGTCTAGTTTATAGCTGAAAAGAGAATACTGTTGTAACAAACTGACAAAAAAAAAACAAAACAAACAACTCTTTCCTGGCATATTTCAAAGCAAAATGAATTTCCATCAGACTAAAAAAATCAAAACTATTAACAGTGACACCTTTTTCTCCTGTAAACACCTATATCAATTTCCACATAGTAGTAGGACATTTTCAAATCAAAAGTTTGTGGGAGGAGTTCTACCCTGTTTACAAACTGCACATAATTTTCCAAACAGTCATAAATTACAATCTGGAGAAGGAAAACATGGACTATAAAAGAATGCAGCTTACACAGGCATCACTGGTGGCATTCCTGGAGCATGAAACCACGAGTTCCAATCAACTTTATCAAGAACATCTACCTACAAAGCAACATAAATTCTTACTCAGTTTGAAATTCTTACTCAGTTTGAAATGTTGTCTATAGAGAAAAGCATGCCCTATGAAAACCAGTACCAATATTGGTTTTGGATTTTGGGTTTTATTTTGTTGTTTGTTTTTTTTTTTTTAACATCCCTCCAATTACTCTGGAGAATTCTATCCTTCAAAACAAAATATTCCCTTCTAGGAAAAAAAACAAAACAAAACTAACAACAAAACGAAAACACATTCCCTCCTTCTCCCCACAAAAAAACCCAAACAAAACCAATGAACCAACCAAGCAAAAAACAACCCAAAAGCCCAAACCAACATAAGAATGCAAAGCCATCTTTTGTAAGATGCCAAACAACATCATATTAAGGTCCTTAGATAAAAGAAAACTAAGGAATTGGTCCTTAAAGAAGGTAATTCTTGAGCTATGCCATATTTTCATGTAACTAAAAGGTTTCAAGCAATTAGTTTTAAATACTATCCAACCTTATCCTTGAAGTAAGAGTATAAGAACTTCTTCCAGTCCTCCGTTATTACGCTCTTATAAGCGAACTGTTGAACGTAAGCCTTCAAGAAGCCAATGAAGATATCTAGCAGTTACAAGACAAAAAAAAAAACCAACAAAACAAAACTGTTTCAGTTTTTGAAATTAAAATGGGAAGCAATAATATATGAAGTCTCACTAACGCCTACCTGGTCCTCCAAGAAGTTGTTCAAGGTAAAAAAGCAAAGCAAAGCCTTTCTCATATGGAACAGATGAATAGGCAACATCAGGATCTACTTCATTCAGATTAGGGATGAGGTTAGTTACAGGATTTTTATCTCCAAGAGTATTTATCTGTGACAAAGACACAAGAAAATATATTCATCTAGGAAACCCAGCACTCCTGCAAATCACTACTAATTCTATTTATAAGGGTACTGTCCATCCAAAACTAAGATGACCTCATTGCAAAGCATTCTTTCTCATTCTTTTTCCTGAAGTTCTGAATCTGCACAAAACACAGTTTAGCTGAACTTCTTTCTCATCTTGTTTTATTAGTGTCTGATCAAAGATGTTAAGATAAATCACCCTTTGATCCAGCTGTCTCAATGCAGTTAATTATTGCCATGTTTGCCAAACATGAGCACCTAGTAAACTATCTATATTTCATTATATATATTTCTATATCTTCATTAACAAACTATTTAAACTACTTGATTTAAATGGGTGCTATCAAGAATAAAATACTAGAAAATATTCATAGCACATCAGGTAAAAGTACATCACAAAACTGAATGAGAGGGCTGGAAATATCACAGGCCAGATATCTGAAAATTAAGTTTAACTATGCTACCTAAACACAAAACTAAAACACTTACAGATTAGGAATATGCTCAATTATAACACAGTACAGAGGGAAAATTTGCATGAGGCACTGGAAATTCTGATGGTCATGCTTGCAGATAATTTTGATAAGCTTTCAGCTTCAGCTGCTTACCAGTATGCTAAGAAGTATTACTGCAATTTAGCCATACCCAGAACAACTAAAAGAATCTGCAAAGGACAGCTTCAAACAATTTAAAAAGCTTTACCTAATCTGAGTATAGTAGGCTATTACCTTGGGAAGAGATCCTATACCTTGGAATCAAAGATGCTTATCCTCCAATTAGGAAAGTGTTAGGAAAGCTGAATATACAAGTCTTTGTGGGAAACACATGAAATTAGCTTTGTTTTATTTGGGTATATGCTTAAAAATATGTACCGTATTCTGCAGTTCCCTCCATCCTCCTAGGGCTTGAAAGTGCCTGAACTGCTCACCAAACAACCGACCACCAATCCTGCGTTCCAGGTATACAGTATGTCCCTCATTCAGCCTGGAAATATATTGATAAAGTCAGAACTACTAGAATGGAAAAATTAATTTAGTTGGTTTCTTTACAGATTGATTTTAAATTATGATTTGCATTGAACTGAACATCACACCTACCAAAAATGCTCCCATGTTTTATTTGTTACCAAGTTTCCTGTCCAACTGTGAGAGATTTCATGAGCAATAACCTAAAACACAGAAAATAGTGACAGATCTATCATTTAGAGTCCTCTGGAAAATGAACATCAAATCCCAACAGAAAAACAAAAGGGATCTCCTTTATTGCATTACATTCCCAAAGCTGGTTAGCATTCACAGTTCTATAAACTTACCCATATGAATTTTATTTAGAGCATTAACACTATCATACTGAACCTATTCCAGTAATAATTTTGAATGTCCAGCCTGCAAGTCATAGACCCACAATGATCAACAAAATTGACTTCTCTGGTAGCACAATGCAGGCACTTGTTTGTGAAATCACATTTCAGAATACTGGATCCAAGCCAAGTGACAGACTAGTACTACCTTCCCACCTTAGCGACTTCTGCAGTGCTGGGATGATCTAAAATACCAAACAGGAAAAAAAGATCACCCCTAAAAGATAATGATTCATGATACATTAAAAAGCATCCATGTCAGATATTTCAGTTTTCTTGGGATAAGGCAATCATATCCTCTTTTCTTTTCAGCACTGCATCAGTCTAGTAGAAAGACATACGAGATAAAACAGCACCCAGAGTACTCAATTTTCCAGAAAAATTAGAATTTACTCAAATCACACTCATTATTTCCACTTTTAAACTACACAGTTTTAGTATTGTTCTGTACTAGAACTGAGTTCTAGTGCACAGAGAAGAAAAAAATTCCCTACAAACAATTTCAATTAGATCAATTCAGTTGTGGTTTTTAAACATATCTATACACAGGAGAGAAAAAAAGCTATTGAGCAGCTAACTTCAGTCAGACCCTTATGTATACAGGCACCCATGTTACTTTCATCTGTTTGTTATACAAAATAGGTACATCTACAGTTTTCTACAGCTTACTTAGAACTAAAACTCACTTTGTAAGACTTCTTGACTTACTGCCTTAATTTTTAATTCTCACAGGTTATCTATTACAAAGGAAGCTAAGATACAACTTCAAGTTGTGTTTTACTTGAAGACATTAACTTATTTTGCACTTACATTTGACAGTGATCGGTCACCTGCCTGAAAAGAAAACAAACCAAAAAAAGGCAGTCAGTTCAAGTAAACCTCAAATTATACCACTTAATGCATTTCCATTATGATTCCAAACTCCTGAGGGGGAGGAATCTTTACAGTTCTTTTGAGGGGAAACATTAATCCCATTTGCGGGTTAATATCCATCACTTGATGGATAAGCAAGCCCCAAGAAAAAGCTGACTTTTATCAGTGTTACACTTACCAATAGTGTTGGAGTTACAAAAGTAAGACAAGGATTCTCCATACCACCATAAGGAAAAGAAGGTGGCAAGACTAACAAATCATACTGTCCCCATACGTAGGGTCCTGCTAAATCTTCTGCTGTTTTCAGCATAGCTTCAGCCTGAAACAAGAATTCACATTAGCTTCTAACATCACTTCTGGCTACAAACACTGAACAAATAATAAGCTATGGATTTCATACTTCATTCTCTTTCACCTTGGCATGTCCCACATGCAAAATGAGCACAAGACTGTACCAATATTTACGTTCAGTAGTAGTTTTGGGTGGTGATAGAACAGCAGCATTTTTGGGGGTGGGAGGAAGAGAAAAGAGAGCTACAGATGAACACAACACTGAACTGCAGCCTGTTCTTTTCCCAATGCTACGTGAAACAGTTAATTTACAAAACATTTCTTTGTTAAAAAAAATTGCCCACCTCAGCAAATTCATAGGCTGATTTATCCACTAGCTCCTTTTCAGCCCACACCAGTGTCCTTGGGCCAATCTTTCTGTTGAAAGTAAAAATTCCACTAAGACACTATCAACTAGAAATAATTCTATAGGAAGCTAACACAGGGGCAAAAGTGAATCAAAATACATGCAGTTTGATACAAATAGACAGGTTCATTGAACTTCTAAGACCTTTTAAAGCTAGAAACAAGACCAAGAAACAAGCAAAAAAATCTCCAAAGATTTATTATGATTACCAATATTTTTACTTTGTGCAAATTCACTCACCTGCTTTCTAAAGCTCCAACCACTAAAGCAATCAAATAGCAAGGTATGGGAACCTAGTGGAGAACAAGAGAAAAAAAGGAATTTCTTTGTAATGTGAGCAATCAAAACCACTTATTCAAAGAAAAACAAAGGTATGTAAATAAGAAGTGTGCACATTTCCTCCATAGTTTCTTGCCTTATAACAAAGGCATTGTTTTTTCTCACCAAGTGATACTCCTTTATCTACAAGTACTCATTTCACAGATGTTTCACACCAGGGCCACAAAGTTGTATCATTTCTGTTTGAAAAAAATCTGCACAAAAAAATGCCACTGCTTTCATCACTGTTCAAAAGAAAGTCAGTTTTCCATATTCATTCCAGCTCTGTTAAATGTTACAGAAGAAGGAGTTAAGACATACTGCTCAGATGAAGGGCAGTTGTATCACACAGAAAGACACGGAAGAGCTTTAATGAACTGAAGCAAACAAGAATATTTTTGGATGTAAAAGATTCAGCAAAATCAAAAACTATATAATTGATGTCCATGCGTGAAATTAAAATATTTAAATAAAAAATGCTAAATATTTGTTATTTTAATGAAAAAAAATCCAAAGCTACAGTTTCTTTATACAGAAATGCTTTCTTGTGCTGCTCTGAAAATAAAAGGGGAAAATACAACCATCCCTACAAAAGTTCCATTTATCTGACTAAACAATGTTGAATAAGTAATATCATGTATGTCAATATATGATATATATATATCAGTATATCAATTACTTCAAATCTCTATGGCTGTTGGGTTATAAATTCATTTTTACAGACGCTGCTCTTCACTACATCTCTTACTAGCCTGGACGCGCAGGACCAAATAAAAAAGGTAGTTTTAAGTGAGCTTAGCACACACAGGTATCACTGAATTTTATGTGTTACCCTTATTTGTCTAAGGAAACACTTGCCTTTTCTAACAAATCAGTCTCACAGTTTTCTACGTTAGATGATGTGGGTGCTTTTTTTAATGCATTTCTCTTTTTTGATTTATATATTTGGTGTTTAATGCATTTTACTTATTTTTTGTTTGTTTGTTTAATGAAACACATGCCTTTTCTAACAAATCAATCGAATGGTTTTCTATATTAGGAAGTGTGTAATTTCAATTTGACTAAATGTTATTCCTTGTACATGTCCACCAAACTTACCAATAGTGTATTTCTAGATAACATACAGCCCTGGTGTCATGGTTTAAGCTGAGCTGGTAACTCAGAACCATACAGCCGCTCACTCACGTCCCTCCCCCCTCTTCTTCCTTCCCCCAGCTCCCGGAGGGACAGGGAGGAGAATCGAAAGAATATAACTCCCACGGGTTGAGATAAGAACAGGCCAGTAACTAAGGTATAACACAAAACCACTGCTGCTACCACTAATAATAAGAGAAATTAACAAGGGACACGTGGATAACTTATAGAAGCCTTATGCACTAGACAGAGGCAAATGTTTTGGCTCCACAGAGAAAGCAGAACTGCATGCATTGGGAATAAGACGCCTTAGGCATCTGCTTACTAGCACAGAGCACTTACGTTCTGACTGAAACAGTATATCTTCTGACTGCTGTCCTCTGGGTCAGGCATCTCTCCATCACGATTAGCACTCATAAGAGCCACCAGCTCTTTAGGAACTGATATCTGAAAGGTTACCCAACTATGAGGAAGTCAACTGCCACAAGGGACCATACAATATACTAGAAACAGTGATAGCAAAAAGAGTAGCCCAGATTTGTTGTTAAGTCCTCTCGGTCAAGTAGAATGTACGGCATATAGAAAATACTACCTTAAAGGCTGGCAATATTTAATTAACCAGAAGGATTACCTCTGACAGAAATTAAAAAAAAGTTCACTTTCTTCAGACTACTGAATTGTAATATCACATTGCACATCTCACTTTTTGCTTCCTTAAAACAATCAGACTGCTTATGCCAGGACTGCAAAGATCCCCTGACTATGTATCTATGTAAACGGAACATATTACTTATGGCATACATGAGAGTCATTTAAAGTGTTTATACTTTACAGCACTCTTTGTTGTCTTACTGTCAGCTTTTCCTGACTTAAAAACATAATTCTTTCCTACTACAGCACTTACTTTTTTATTTTGGAAAGAAAGATATATGTGAACGAAAAATGAGATGATATATCTAAGAGAAAATGGTAAGGCTACAGAAGTGCCACAAGGAAGATAAGTAGGTTTTGGCTCTTACATTAAGCTAAAAGTCAATATTCTCTGGTTTTATTTTTTTTGTAGCTGGTGGAATGTGGCCTAGAATAATAATTCACCCATTGTAGTAGTTGTCTTTAGTTAGACACATGACAAGTTCATCTACCTCTGCATAGTAGGTTAGTTTCACAGCAGGTGTGTCTTGGCATGGAAAGATGGCCCTGCAGTGGATAGCCTGGACAGGAGAAAAAAAAAAAAAAAAAATGGGAGCTAAAACATAACAATGCTTCTGATACAGAGGACTAGAAATAAATCAAACCAATATACAGTACTGGAAATAGAGAAAATCTGTTATCTGCAAACGAATCTGCAAATTCTTCCTATCACTTACAGCTTATAGTAGTTTTCATAGTTAAGACTTTTCTGACAGAAATAATGGTAGGTAAGACAGATCAATAGCCGCATATATTGATCACACGGGACTGTGCGTACTTCAACAAGAATACTGGAGAGGGTAAAGCAGTTCTGGAATTCTTAAATTCCAAACATATAATAAAATCTCAGCAATGCCCTGACTTATTAAGTGCTTTCAGTTAGGACCTCTGATACACATGCAATTAGAGGTTATGGGTTACTGTACTTATACCTACCAGCCCTGCTCTATGACTCTTTGGAAACCTGGGAGAATTACAGTCGTATGTAAATAAAAAGTGTTAAAAGTAAAAATAAACAATTATCCACTCAACCTGACACTGGCTGAAGAGAAATGGGTGTTTCTTTCCAGAAGTTTGCTCTGGAGTAAACCATTGGAGAGCTGAAGAGTTTGGAGAGCTTTCAAAAGAGATTTCAACAATAGCTTCTTGTCCCCTGTGTAATAAGGAATACAATCAGACTGTTTTGACACAACTCTTAATCGCTATTGAAATTCCTCTACAATGATTTCTAGAAAATAGGTCTGCAGCATTGTCTCAAAAACACTAAAAATAAGTTCAAGTAGCATATTAAAAACTCTTCCCTTTCAATTACGATAGTAAAGATTACCTGGTTTATTTGAATGTCCCAAGACACTTCTGTTTTTTATTAACTAGAAACTTTTCCTCTCCTCTCTTTAAGGAGAACATGGACTTTTTCTTTAAACCATTTGGACCAGCTATATACATATATATTTTTTTGTCACAACTACCTAACATTTTACATGTAAGTATAAGACCAGCTTGCTAACAAAAGAACACACACAAACCTTAAACATTCATACTTTTATTTTGTAAGGACATATCATAACCATCACTGCCACTAAAAGCACACAGAAGTACTGGCTTTTGTTATCAGTAAATTCCAGGTTAGGCATGCAACTCTCTGGAATTAACAATCCAGCCACAAATCAGAACACACTTCAGCTGACCAGAGGAGTTGGACACTAGATAAGCTGCCTGGTATACATATCTGCTTTATAACCAGCATTCCAAAGTACATCTTTGACAAGAAAGGAGAAAATAATTCGTATTGCCTTAAGGCGCACTGCTTACTGAACAGTCAGATTTTTAGTTTTAACTCCTACCCTTTACTTTTCACTGATTTTTAATGAGTACTACATCTCACACAAGATATAAATTCTTATAATCACAACTCCCAAATCCCTCCTTGTAGCTTTTTCCCCTTACAGGGAAATCTAGCAATAAAACTGAAAAACAGAAGGTTGAAAGTCAACCAAAAGAAGCCATGTTTCTGCTGAAGCCTGTTCACATACTTCTCTTGTTCAGTTTCACATCACATCATAAGCATTTCCCCAAAAGGGACTGACACTGTATAACATCCCTTTCTCTTCCACATTACAGGTGGTTCTAAACTGCACTAATTCCTAGGACAGCAGCAACAGAAGAGGTAGTAGTTTGCAGAGGTAGTAACCAGTTTTGGAAACAAAATAGTAAGAATCAACATAGTATCCTATTTTATTCAAACAAGGAAACTTTCTGATTCAATCAGAGCTCTCAGCTTTGGCAGGCAAGATACCATGGAGTTACAACATACATAGCAAACTGTCAAAACATGTACTGTAATTTGATAACAACTTTTAAATTGATCCAACTTGGGTGGTAGATTATGATTTCTTGTCTCCATCATGCTGCTGAAACTCAAGTTCCAGTTTGTAGGGACTTGGTTTAGCATAGTCAATACAATACAACCTTTATTGTTTGAAAACAAGTTTCTTTTTAATCCTAGTGATAACCTGCAGTTCTACAGAAAGACAGGATCAACCCTTGCATGAAAGAAAGGCAAAGTATGCAACTTCACATGTGAAATACTGTAGCAATTCTGAACATGACAAAATTCAGGTAGTTGAAGCAGAAAGATTATTACTGATGAGAAGCACTGTAAAAATTGTGACACACTGCACATAATTTTGCGCTTACTTTAGCAAGTCATTTTCTACATGATATAAGACCTGGGGGTACAAAACCTCCTGAAGTCTCGGCTAATGAAAGCCAGATATCAAGTCATCTACAAGATTACATCAAATAAATGCAAACCCCTATTTATAAGTCCCTCTGCAAGGTTTACACAACGACCCTACAGGCAGACAAACGGTTTACTCAGTGCATTTTGGAAAACATCGAAAGGAAGAAGCAACAGTGTGCATGTACCTTCTTAGTTCAAACGGAAGCATGATCTCCAGGGGGGTCCCCTTGAAACTGTGCTTTTCTCCAAAAACAAATGTTGCATCCTGTCCATTCACGGTCGCTTTAAATACCTGTACGTCTTTTGTATCCAACACCTGTAATGAAGCAAATATTACACGCTTCTTTAGCAGTGTAATAACCTTAAATACATGCCTCTCCAAAGGAAAAAGTATTTACTCAGTAGAATCAGAGAAATCAAGTACCTATGTTGTGTACTGGGAACCAGCATTTTAGGGGAGCAGCAGGGAGCTTACAAAACTGGAGGGGGAAAAGGAAGAAAACCAACTTCTGACCATGAAAGTGGAAACAGGAGTTCACTAAGTAAACTACAAAGGTGAAAGACTTCATAGTGCTGCTATAAAATGAGGGCACGATGGAAACTGCCCTGCCAAGGCTTCCATCCTGGAACTAGGATGGATGCAACAGAAGATGAGTTAAATAATGCAGCACTCTCACATGCAGCACGAGTGAAGTTTCACTCTTCGTTGTTAAAAGGATGTTTGGGGTTGGTTTTTTGGTTTTTTTTTTTCGTCTAAATATAAGTGCCAATCACAAAAGGATTTCATGGAGGCTGCATGAAGCAAACCCACAAACCCCAAGCTTCACTTCACATATAAAGCGACGCCGAGGAGGTTCACACGTTTATGTGCATCGGTAACTGAGAAAGAAACTGCCACAATAAAACACGTGTGGAAAAGCCATAAGCATAGCTTTCCTTTACTCCCATTTTTTCGGCAACAGGCTCTTCGCCGTTTTAACAGGAAAGTACATATTTAAAATACATATTTATATTCTTCTCTCTAGGCACAGGAAACCCGGGCCGCCGAGCGCTGCTACCCGCGGGTGATGGGGCCGACCGCTGCAGAGGCTGCAGCCCAGCCGGGGGCAGGAGCGGAGGGTCCAGGGAGGGAGCAAGGACGGCCGGGCCGGGCCGGCCGAACGAACGGAAGAGGCAGCTAAGGGAAGGCGGCTACGAGCGCGGGCCCGGCCGCGGGCAGCGCGAGGGTCGCCCCTCCCTCCTCCTGCCCCGCACCCGCCGTTACCAGGCAGCGCAGCGCCTCGCGCTCGGCGCGCGCGGTGAAGGCCGCCGTGCCCCGCAGCGCCCGCGCGCCGAAGTCCACGCGGCAGCGCAGGTACAGGTGCCGCGTCAGGCAGCACGAGGGAGACGCGAAGGAGCTGGAGTCGGCCACCGCCATGTCGCGCCCGTCGCCCGCCGCAGGGAGGGAGGAGCGTGCCGCGCACCGCCCCTGGAACGCGTAGTCCCGCCCTCCCCTGGAACGGCGAGGGCAGCGCGTGAAGAACTACATCTCCCGGAGCGCACCGCCAAGCATGGTGGCTATGAGGGGCCAGGGCAGGGTCACCGCCGAGCTGTCAGCGATTAAATACCATGTAGGGAAGGCTCCGGAGTACTTCGCTGTACAGCTCCTCGTTAGTATAGTGGTAAGTATCCCCGCCTGTCACGCGGGAGACCGGGGTTCGATTCCCCGACGGGGAGGTACGAATGCTTTTCTGCCTTTTTCCTATTGTAGACTCTACCCTAGAGGCAAACCCCAGTTCTTTCCCAAAATCAAAGCTGCTGCCAGACGGCCTTTGGAAATGCAGCGCGGCGTTAAAACAGGAAGCGCAGAAATAAAACACAGGCGTCTCGTGGCTGCCTACCTGCTCCAGGCTCGAGGCAGCATGGGGCCAGCGAGGCCGCTGCAGCACTTCACAAGCTCAGCCGCTTAACTGCCAGTACGTGTGAGGAAAGCATTCTCGTATTTAAGTGGTTTGATCAGCTAAACAGCGGGGGTCATTAAGCCTTTCAAAAACATTCACCATTTTCCTTACTCCCCCTCCAAACCTCTGAGGTCAGAACAATGGAAAGAGGGACAGACAGGTAAAATGGACACATTAGAAGAAGGAAGGTGGAAGGCCAAAGGCCATCTTGTGGCCTCTGGTAATGCAGCCCCTCATTTTAACCCTCAAAGTGAGAACGTGGGAGACCAGGAAGCTCTGAGCCTGTGCTTGCAGCCAGCAGACCCCATGCCATCTGCTGTGCTAGCTAAGAGTGCACTGCAAAACAACTGTGACACTTCAGTGTCCCTGCTTGCATTTACTCAGTATCATCAGAAATGCTCTTTTAAGCACTCCCTCACTCCCCCCCCCTTTTTTTTTTACTCCCAATCCTTCTGCCAAAAGGCATTATTTATTTATTCATTCATCCATTTATTGACATTTCAGCACAAGGATGGTAAAAGAGACTGCCTCCCTTCTGCGGGATGCCGAGCAGTAAATGCGATCACCCAAATCCCTTCAAGTCAGGAAAGAAAGCCATGGCTGACCACACACAAACGGAGTGAGGAATTAGGATGGGAGACAAGAGGCCAAGGCTCCCAGGTGTTAGGAGTGAGGGCTGGGTGTGCCTGGTGTTCAGTGCAGGAGGTCCGGGAGGCTGTGCTCTGGCCCTGGCTTTGTGCACTCAGACAGTTTCAATACAGTTAATGTGATGCTCTGACCTGGGCATTTAAAGCAAATTTCTGTAGCACAAGTGACCTCACATCAGCCACACAGACAGCAGCAAGCAGTCAACTGAGGACATACACAAGAAAAATGATTTCTGTTTAATAAGATCTAAGATCCAATTTGACAGCAGTGTTTGGCAACAAAGGGTGATCACTCTTGACAAAACATTGCCATAAGCCAACGACGTGTAATGCAGAATGCAGAACCTAACCTTTGCCACCCTTACAGAGTAGTTCTGAGACACCATGTCTTCAGCCTGTGTATGCACAGCTGCGGGAGCAGCACACCAGGGGCTCTGGGAGCTGCAGGCACAGGAGGGATGCAAGGCTTGAGATACAGTGCAAGACTAAGAGGTGCTTTCTGTGGGCTCACCAGCTGGTGGCAAAGCCCATGGGCATCCTGACAGCATCCCACTGCCCCAGCTGTCCCATCCGGATGTTACCCTGAGACGGGAATGTGAGGAGCACATGAAGAAAAGGGGGTGTGACAGTGAGCGTCATCCGCAGGAACAGTGATACCCTGGAGCTTTGTATAAACTGGCTGGACTAGAGCAACATGCAGGCAAGCCCAGATAAACCCAGGCAGAAGAGGAAGGGAATTTCAATAGGTCTGTTATTGCATGTATTGGAGAAAGAAGGAAAAATAGCCCAAATATTTTCCCTTTCACAATTTCCGAATTTCCTTGCATGCCAACTTCCCTTTCTCAAAACCCACGTACATGTCAACAGATAGACAAGGAAACTGACTTTTTTTTAGTAGGCAGTTTATTTCAAAACAGAGAATGGACTATAAAATAAGATGTAAGAACCATTTAGAAGTTCATATGTGCTGGCATCCAGTCAGGCAATTTCAGCTGTCATAAAATAATAAGGGATTAGAAAAGCAATTCTTTCAAAACAAATATGCTGTCAGTGCTTTGCAGGCATAAAAAAGAGTCTTGCAAGCAACTCCATACCTGCTTAGTCAGTGTTTCTGTTTTCAGATTAAGCTTTCACAGTGCATAACAAACTACCCAAGAGGCAAAGTACTGCTATAGATGAGCAGCTTTGAGAGTCCCAGGGAGTCATTCTCATTTGTGTGGGGCAAAGGTAAAAGGAAGAGGAACAAGGAGCTCAGGGCATTGAACAGGGTGTCTCCCCCATCTCCCCCCAGGTCGGCTTAACCTCTTTCCCCCTTCCTCTGGTAGCAAATCTTTCCCACACACCTGCTCTGTGCTGTTGTACCCCACCTGGCAGTGAGGAGCCAGCACTGCTGGAACACCAGCAGCAATGACAGCAAGCCCAGCCACAGCTGCTTGCACCATCTTGGCTCTCCATGAACATCCTGGTGTGGTCCAGGCTGGGTTCCCTTTGGGCAAAGTGCACAGGAGGCACAAGGGAAAGGAGCACTGGCAGGAAGCTTTCTGCAGTGTTTGTAGAGTAAAGTTTGAATGAGGGCCAGCACTGATGAAATCTGGAGGAGCAAACACTACTGTATTGCTAGCAGAAATCTTGCCCTGATTTCTTCTTCAAATACCTGTTGAATTACCCATGTACAGCTTTCAGATGCATCTCTTTTTATGCTTCTAGTCATCTCACTCCCCACCTTATCAACAGTTCAGCATGTATTAGCCTTAGGGCTAGCAGAGAAAGCTGTGGCCCAGCCACCAAGACAAGAGTGGACTGGTAAGTCAACTGCTGCTTGCAGCCTTGCTGATCACACAGCATGATAGCAAAGCAGCGCTGAGGGAAGGTCTGGGATGGAGGTTCAGCCCAAGCATGTTAACAGCATCTTGTTAAAAATCTTGTTTGAGCATGTTCAAGCCCTGTGTAACTCTATGTATTCTGTCTTCTGTGTGTTGTAGCCATGTGTGTATTTAACTAAGTGTGGTTTATGTATGCTTAACTCTGCCAAAAGTTTTAATTAACCTTTGTCAAGAAGATTTTTGGAAGGCAAAAGATTGCTTGCAAATGTTGGAAGCTGCTTTATGCTATTAGCAATGATGAAACACAGAGAGGAGCACTGAGAATCGTGGAAGTTTTACATTGGTAGTTACTCTAAGGAGAAGGAAAATAAGAGAAGACCCCCTTCTTAAACTTAATAACTATAGCAATAAATTCATATTTTAAGACTACTTAAAATCTAGTTCTCAGCAATTGTTCTGGGCAGTCCCAATGGGAAAACTTAAACAGAACCAGCTACTAAAAATACACTAATTTTGATCTCATTTGGAATGAAACTTGTCAACAAATAGGGAGATCAGGTAGAACATAATAATAAATAAATAAGAATAAAAAATGCCTCCATAAGTGCTCAGCAAGGGCTAATAACAGGAATAGGCAATAGCAAATTGTTCACAAGTTTTTTTGCAGGACAGTACATCCAACATGACTGTGATGAACTGACAAATTAGGAGGGTACAAGTCCTCTATTCCACCTTGATTCTTCTACAGAGACTTTTGGTGCTAAACTTTTTGGCTGGTCAGAGAGAAGAACATGGTTGTCCCTTAAAAAGTGATAAAACAATTTATACCAGTAGCTGTTATATGCTTCTGATCCCTAATCATAGTGAACCATCTGACCCTTGAAGTATTTAATGTTCATTCCAGAACTTTTAGCCTGTCATCATAAGTATCCATTAACTGTTGGCCCGAAGGATCCCAATGAGTCTCCTCCCTGCACTGAAGAGTTTGGCTGCTGATGCCCCAACCAGCTCTGTGATGGTGCCAGCCTTGGAGCAGCAGCCTGCTCCCACAGCTCCCTGGCACATCCACCTTCACAGAGCAGGACATGTGCCTGTGAGCACAGCCTGCCACAGAAAAGCTGGCACTTTGGGTCCTTTCACTGAAAATTGCCTTTACACAGGTCTAGGTCTTCAGGTGCTACACATCGCTGCAACCCCACTTGGGTCAGTGGAGCAATGCTAATATAAGCCAGATGGGATGCTGATTTACCAATTAAAAATACCCAGGCCACCAACACGCATTCAATCCCAACGTGCATGCTGTGCTTTTATGACTATTCCAGACTAGCCTGGCATCTTTCAACATTAGCTTATAATAAGGGTAAATTAGATGTTCATTTTTTCTCCTGGAACTCTTAACACACTGAGCACTTAGTACTTGAGCACAATGATTTGCAAGGAACTGTTCCGTTTTGTACATGAACAGTTAGTAGTGGATCCCATTTCCTGGGACAGATAGGGTGGAAAATATTTTAAAGCAATATCTTATTAATAGATTTTTCTTTCTATTTTTAAGCAGCTTTAAAGCATCTATTACATTTCCTTTTTTCCTGAGATAGTTTCTTAGTCTTGAATTCCCTGCAGAAGCCAGTAACCATTTCACACAGCTGTGTTTCTACATGTCAAATGGTCTGTTAAATATGATTTCCATCATACTTCTTTTTACTTGGAGGGAATAAGTTTTGCAATTTTTTCAGTTCCTCCTTTGTTCTGAACTTTAAAATACTTTTGCAAAGGCAGTTTTCTTTTTTTTTTTTTTAACTTCCATGTTGTTAGACATGCACACAGCTTACACCTCTCCAGAGGATGCTATTTAACCATGTGAAGAGATCTGGCACTCTCAGGGTGCATCATGACAGGCTCAAGGAAGGAAAACTTCTGCCTCAAAACCAGAAATCCAGATGATGAAAAGTTAACTCCTCTGTTAATTTGATGCTAAGCGTCTATTACACCACTTAGCCTGCTCAGCATTTTAGGTTTT